AAAAAAAATTTAAAAACTAGCTGGGTATGGTAGTGCACACCTGTAGTCCCAGCTACTCTGAGGGCTGAGGCAAGAAGATCACTTGGGCCAAGGAGGTCAAGGCTGCAGTGAGCTGTGATCGTAGTACTGCACTCCAGCCTGGGTGATAAAGTGTGAGACCCTGTCTCAAAACAAAGTTAGTTTGAAGAAATCTTCAGGAATTATCCTAAATTCATGTTTGGTTATAGTCTTATGGGGCAATTTAGAAGTTTCTAGGACTATGGCTCATTTTATATTCTCAGGTTAAATCTACTTACATAGGATTCACATTGACATATGGTACTTGATGCCTTTTGTCTGGTAGCAGAAGAGATACCATGAGGAAAGAAGGGAGGAGGAAGTAAATGGACCCATGGGTGTGAATATGGGCTTTCTTTTGCAGGGAATAGGAGATACGAATTTGGCCCATCAGTGCTTCAGGCTGGCTCTGGTGAACAACAACCACCACGCCGAGGCCTACAACAACCTGGCTGTGCTGGAGATGCGGAAGGGCCACGTTGAACAGGTCAGTGAACTGGCAGTGGCACACTGGGCAGTCTACTTTCTTCAGAGCAAAGCTGTCATGTATGGAAGTGTTATACTGTATGTTATTTTTAAATGGGCTCTAGAATCTGACAGGTGTGGATTTGAATTCCAGCTCTGTTGCGTATTAGCTGTGTGACGTTGGGACAAGTTACTTAACCATTCTGAGTCCAAAATAGAATGTTTGATTTTATTATGACAAATCTGCACCTCCCCAGTCTTCCCTATCTTAGTGGACTGTTCCAGCAGTCACCATCCCCTGTCCACTACATAGCTGCTCAGGCCGGAATCCTTGGAGCCACCCCGAAACCTTTCTTTTTTTATTGCTTCCCCCTGCCATACCTGCACCCACATCATATTCAGCAAGCCCTGTCATTCTGACCTTAAAGTCCCATTACAATCTGGGCCTGGTCACCTTTCTCCATTCCCATGACCCTCTTCAAACTGCTCTTATCTCTTGCATGGGCTGCTATGAGAGCCTCCTCCTGGTCTTTTTGTTTCCACTTACATCAGCAAGTAAGTACACTCTGTGATACACTCTTCTCAGAACAACCTGAGAGATTTGTTTAAAACCAAGACTGTTTAATAGTACTTTGCTTAAAATCCTCTAGTGCGTTCTCCTTCAACTTGGAATAAAATCTGGACTTGAAACCGTGACTATGGCCTGTGAGGCACTGTGTGACCTCGCCTCTGGCTCCCTCTCAGACCACGCCTTTTGCCACTCCTTTCCCACTGGCTTGCAGACATATTACTCTGCCTTGCTGCTCTGTAGACAGACAGTGCTCCGTCTTCCTTTAGGGCCTTTGGAGTGTTCTTCCTTCAGATCTTGCAATGACAATTTTCTTTTTGTCATTCAGGTCTTAGATTAAATGTCAGCTCCTTAGAAAGGTCATCTCCCCCATCAGTCTGAAAAAGCCCTTGGGTGCTATCACATCTCTTACTTTTTATCTTCACAGTATTTACCACTTTATCAGATATTTTCATATTTATGTGTAGGATGTAGAATGTCAGCTGCATGAAAAGAGGGACTATCTGTCATGTAACCGTTCTATTCTCAGCATCAGAAACTGTGCCAGCCACGTGGTGAACACTCAGTCAATATTTGTGGAATGAATGGACAACACATAAATTAGAGTGTAACAGTAGTGACCTGAGGTATTTTTTCTGAGGATTAGATCATGCACTTGGCACAGTAGAAGCATGGAGCACATGGTAGATGCTTAATAAATTGTATTTTTAAAATAATATATGTAAAACAAAAGGTTTAATATACTAAATATGTTCATATATTAGTGGTAATCAAGGGCAAATATTATTACGTTCTACACTTTGGAGATAAAGAAACGGAGGCTTGAGGAGGGTAAGTAACTTTACCAAAGGTCACAGGCATGGGAAACAGCATACCAGGACATTAGCCTGGTGTTCTAAGCACAGTGATAAACTTTTAACAACAACAAGGAAAGAAAGATCATTGCATGTTACCTTTATTGCATAAATTCTCTCAAGGTAAATAAGATAGATTTTTAGTTTACAGACTAAAAATGAACACTTGTTTTGTCAGGAACTTTGTGTATATTCATATGATGAAACAAGTGATTTTTGTGACTTTTCTCTGTTCCCATGTTGGGGATTTTCTTTTCCTCCTTATTGTAGTTTCTATAGCATGCAGTTGACTTGAAATGTTTTGGTGAAAGATTTCATAATATAAGCTCCATTTTATTATTAAAAATTCTGTCATTCTATATGAACTGATACCATTTTGTTTTCCATTGAAAAGGTATACAAACTTGTCTTCAGGGTCGTAGATAGAAGTTTAAGATTTAGCTACAAGTTGAGGGGTTGTTAGCAGCTTGTAATGCCGAATTCATGGTATTAATGATTGCATAAGCATCTCATGCTGCTCAGTGGTCTCTGCATTTTATGATCCTATGATCACAAAAAATAATGTGAATGTTCTATTTTGAGTATCTGAGAGAAAGAAAACATGTCATATTCAATTGCTGTTTCACTAACAAAACTGATCAGCACTGTATTAAATACTTGCTCACTGTCATCCAGCACAGAATTTTGGGCTTCGAAATTTACAGTGTTTTTTTTTTGGTTGTTGTTACGTTAAAGAACAGGTAATTAGAGCCTGCTTAATCAATCAACAGCAGTAAAAACTAGATTAAGAAGAAAGTTGTAGTATTGAGAAGATTGTATTTCAAATTGTATGTCATATTGAAGTATAAACTCTGTGAGAACATTGGTTCCCAGATAACTTTAAGTGTACTCTGAATTTTCAATTCTCTTATTTACTCTGTCTTGTGAAGCATTTATTATTAACATAATTTTGGTAAGGTATCAATAGTTAATTGTATTTCAGTAAGTCATTGTATTTCAAGAGGAATGTTGTCTGTATTTATAACAGGCTCATGTTTATTAAAGTCCTGCCATAGATAAATAATTCTTTTACCAAAAAAAAAAAAATCGCAAAGATAGTGCTGATATATGTTTACATGCCTTTGGTTTTTCTTTATTTTTATACACAGGCAAGGGCACTATTACAAACTGCGTCATCTTTATCACCCCATATTTATGAACCGCATTTTAATTTTGCAACAATCTCTGATAAGGTATTCTCTTTCTTTATTAATTTATCACCTGATCTGTTCTTTTTCTTTCTTGGTTTTAAAAAAAGTACAAATAAATAAGGAAATTCTAACCTCATCTTCCTGAAGGAAATGGCTTTTTAAAACTCTTAATTACTATATATATATATATATATATATATCTTTACTTCAAGGAACAGTTTTTAAAACTTTTAATTTTGGCTAAACACCATTCTAGATTATATAATTATTTTATGTTTTGAAATATGGCATTTAGTCATTGAGGAAGTACTCATTTAATAACTCCTTGCCTGGGAAGTATTTAGTTATTGGCTTTTACAGCAACAAAGTCCTGTGTATTATTTGTAGATCATATTGCCACCAAGTTTCTGGCACAATTACTGCACAGTTAGGGATATTCTAATGTTAAAGCTATCTTAGCTGTGAAGAACATGGAGGAAATAAAACTTAATACTGTGTTGCAAGTCAGTTAATATCCAAAAGCTAAAAGGAACCACATGCCATTTTTAACAATAAGAAAACAAGCAAAAGACGTCTAATAACTAGCGTGTACTTGGAAGGTGAGTCTGTTCTGAGAATAAGGAAATGGCTAAAAATATTTGTGATGTAGAGTCTTGATAGACCACAAGATATTTTAAAAGATGGTTTTTTTCATAACATAAATATGAAGTCATCTACACTGTCATTTCTGTATTGAAAATAACATAAGCTGTCGTTTCTAAGTTGTAATTATTGGGCACCTGTAGGTACCAGCCACTGTTCCAGGTGCTTTATATACATTCTCTAATTCTCCCAACTACCCCGCCTTCATCACTCATTTTTTCATGACTGATGTTCTGTTTACTGAGCCTCTGAGATATACCAGGCCCTGTTTTTGGCACATAGGATGTGATGATGAATACAACAAACAAAATCTTCTACCTCATGCAGCTTAGTTTCTAATGGAGCCCAAGGCTTATAGATGTTAAAAGACTTCTGTGTCCTATGGCAGTAGCGGGTTTCAGATTCACACCGAGCTCCCAGTGACATCCAGATTCCTACTGCACCGTGCTACTGCTTAGTTAGTCAAACCTCCCAGAAGGCTGGGTTACCTTCAGGAATAGCATCACCTTTTAGTAATATATAACTCAAATGGGACATCTTCTTTAAGCAAAAGGCTACACTTCCATAAGAGAAAATAGTATATTAAAAAGAAGTGCTATGATTTTAAAAAGGAAACTTAATTTCTGTTTTAATACATATATATTGTTACCAAAAATCTACCAGAGTTGATCTAGATTTTGTGTATATACAGCAAAAAGCTCTTCCTTTCTGGAATGTATTCATGAATCAAAATATACTCAGATTGTAATTAATGATAAGTTATTGTATATTTTAAAATAGCTACAAGATTTGGAATGTTCCCAACACAAAGAAATGATCAATGTTTGAGGTGACGGATACCCCAGTTACCCTGATTTGATCATTATACCTTGTATGCTTGTATCAAAGTATCACATGTACCTCATAAATAAAAGTTATGTATCAATGGAAATGATACATTCAGACAGTATTATGTTTTTCTTTGGGAATTAATACAAAGTTCATTGAAAATCAGAGACACCCTTTATAAACTTTTAAAACCAGGTATTTTCCCAACATTATTGTGCCAGCACCACTTAAAACCTCTCAAAGCATGTTATCATGCCTTAAATAGAGTCATTTTTGCTTACATTTTCTGTCTAAAAGGTAATAACTCTAATCAGAATATATTTTTTGTGATACCATACAGATAGTTTTCCCTAAGTTTTCTGAGCTAGCTAGAGCTGGCTGTTTCATCATGCAAATGTCATTCATTTTACGTTTATAATCAGTGACAGGAAAAGAAGACATAGGTTTCTAAATCCATTACCAGACAGCTGTAATTTATTTATATAATTGGTTATTTTATCTTTCTCACATACTTTTCAAAATTTAATTATAATCTAGAATTCTAAAATTATGCTACTTTTAGCATAATTAAGCAATTTACCTTTAAGAACCCTTTCAGTTGTGATGTTAGTTGTGGGCTTGTTAAAAAAAAAAAAAAAAAACCCTTTGAATTTCTATAGAATGCAGATAGTATGTCTTATTTTCTTTTTTACTTCCTTACTCATTTTTTCTTATCTCATTCTATGGTCTTATTCTGGTATTTTTTGCAGATTGGGGATCTGCAGAGAAGCTATGTTGCTGCGCAGAAGTCTGAAGCAGCATTTCCAGAGCATGTGGACACACAACATTTAATTAAACAATTAAGGCAGCATTTTGCTATGCTCTGATTGTTCCTTAGACCACATATGTTCTTATGAAGAGGCATTATGCGAGGGGAAAAAAGAACTATGTATGTCTATGTATGTATATAGTTTTATATGTATATTTTACAAACCTGTCTTTGATATTAGTGAATGTGACACATAAGGAAGTTGAAACCAGAATGTATGATGAAAATTTTATAGAAATAGTAACTTTGTAAAATAATATTATAAAGTACAAGATTTAACCCTTTCCAAGTTGATCATCAAACTTGCTCCCACATTATACAGTAGATGTTTCTTTATAATGTTTATAAAACATTTTGGTGAATTTCCTCATTTTTTTATAAATGTACACTTTTTAAGTCCTTAAGCTATTAGCTATCATGTAGCTTAAGAAGTCTAAAACCTGCCATTAAAACTGCACCTTTAAGACAGGTGTGGTAAGCATGTGCCTATAGTCCCAGTTGGTTGGGAGGTGGAGGTGGGAGAATTATAAACAGAGACTTTACTTAAGACTTTTAAAATGTATTTAAAACTATTTTTATTAAATACTTTTAGATTACCTGTTAAGCTTTAAAATAAATCTGTGTGTAAAACACCATCATTTCATTATATTTCATGAGTTTTTATTTTAGCCATTGCTGATGAAACAGGTTTTTCAGAAGTCCAGTAATTTTATGTATTGTCATTATTTTAATTTTATTTCAACTGATGTACCACTAATTCTGTTTTTTCCTAAAAAGTGACTTATGGGATGTCACATTATTAAAATAAGAATTTCCAGATTAGAAATAGAGTCATAGGCCAGGAATTCCACTTCTGGTTAGCCACAGCAAGGAAGTCAGCGATATTCCAGTACCATGCATGGTATTGCAAAGTCTTAGAAAGGCTCTTGAACTTTTCTCTGCCTCATTTAGTGGAACTGTCATTAAAGTGTTCACACGAGGAAATGTGTTATGGGACAGGAGCACTCAAACTCATACTTTGGACTTTGGGATCTTCATGTTATTTTTCATTTTTTTAACATCATGAAACTATTTGATAGATACTTATATTCTGTTCAGATTTGTATAAATGGTATGCTTAGCTGACAGAACAAAAAAAAATTGAATTCAAGGAATAATAGCTTGTTTGAGGCTAGAATTCATTACAGACAAGAAAGCAAGGCCCTGTGTCACACAGCTAGTTGCGGGGATAGCCATAGCTGGAGCCCAGGGTCTTGTTCCCGCACCTTAGCCTTGAACCTTTCTTGGTTCTCTGTGATGTATTAGTGCTTGTTTTTCCCTTGAGAGTTTCCTCGGATACTATCAAATTTCCTAATGTGGGTGGTAGTCAATATTCAGATTCAAATTGTGTAATAATGAATGATTTTCTTAGATAATTTAAAATGACAGCTAATAAGAATGGCTGAACATTTACTGAAGATACTGAATATGCCCACTTTGCTAAGCACTTTATGGGAATGAATTCATTTCATTCCTACCATAGTCCTATGCAAGCTGTAATTATTCCCATTTTACTTATGAGACTACTGAGATGTAGAAAAAAGCTTATTGAACTAGTAGTAAGTGCCAAAGATTCAAGTTTAGGCAGTGTGGCCCCTTAACTATGTGCACTTAATCACTATGTTAAATCACCTCTCTAAAATGAACATTGAAAATTGAATAATAAGGGAACATTAACACAGAAAAAAATAAATGATTCCATTTTCCTAAGGTGAAATGGAGGGATTTTGTCTTGAATTTATGTGAATTCAGTGTGAGCACCAAGGCAAAGAATGAGTCATAGTGGCTCAGGGCAGAATGATGACATAACACCGTGGATGACTGTATCAGAAGCGACATTCAGGATGTCTTTGTAACAAGATGTCTTATGGACTGTGTAACTTCTGGCTTCTGTGCCAACATTTCTGTAGAAAAAACAGAAAGAATGTTAATAATTGTTTTCCAATTTTCCATTGTGGCTAAAAAGATGTTCAATCCATAGATACAAATTGTTCAACCAAAATTCACATCATTGAGCTTACTTCCAACTGATTAAAATGAGATCTGGTAAGAAGGCTTCCTCTACTGAAGCATTAAAGAGGTTAGAAGTTCTTCCTTCTTCACAAATGTGTCATGGCTGAGCCAGTCCCCGTACTGATAACTCTTCCATTACATTTCTGAATGCTTTCTCCCAGGCTCAGATTATCCATCTGGATACAATTTATGGCCTACAGATAAGAAAATTAATAAAGGTAACATGTCACTACACTATTATATTATTATTATTGAGATAGCATCTTGCTCTGTCACCCAGACTGAAGTGCAGTGGTGTGATCTTGGCTCACTGGAACCTCTGCCTCTCAGGTTCAAGTGATTTTCATGCCTCAACATCCCAAGTAGCTGGGATTACAGGCATGTACCACCACACTCGGCTAATTTTTGTATTTTTAGTAGAGATGGGGTTTCACCATGTTGCTCAGGCTGGTCTTGAACTCCTTATCTCAAGTGGTCTACCTGCCACGGCCTCCCAAAGTGCTGGGATTACAGGTGTGAGCCACCTGACCCAGCATCACTACACTTTTAAAGTAGTTTCCACAACCAACTCTTTACTACAATGAGGGATATCTGCCAGGGTCTTTCAGCTGGGATTGAGTTTAAGCATTCAGAAAACAAATATTTTAGAATGACTGGCAGGACTAAACCTTGGAAAATAATGAACCCGGAAACCAAGTGTAGGAAAAAAAGCCATCACCAAATAGTTTTGTATTCTAGGGAACAGAGAAATTGGAATGTTCCATGGATATGTTCCTTCTAGAGTTCCAAAATGGTCATCTAGGCTCTGATTTGAAGGAGAAAAATTTATTTAGCAATTTGAAAATAGCTGCAGTTTCGTATCTGTCTATATAGATAGCATTAGTTCTATTTTTAGATAAATAAAAACAACATTTTTGAGAGAGACTATCATTTCACTTCTTTGATGTCAAAGCCAATTCCTGAAATGAAAGAATAGACATGTTGTTACAATCCTTGGGAACTATGTTTCTTGCAATGTGATCCTTTTCTTGACCTGAATCTAATTCTGACTATTAAGGAGAAATTAATTGTTAAAATGAAAACAATGGGAACTCTTGGTGAAAGCAACCAAGTTATCCTACAGAAGAGGCTAGACCTACATAGATTTTAGGAAGAATTTTTTTTCTTTTTAAAGACACTCTTCCAATATTTGAAACTCAAGTTTTTATGGACTCCAGCACCTTGCAACTGTCAGTGCTCCCAACCCCACCCCTCTTCTGATCTAATAGCTTTCATTTATTTCACTCTACTGAATTATTTCTTTTAAAAAATCGTATTTCCTTTAAGCCTACCTTCCTTTTTTAAACAAATAATATAATTGTTTATTAAAATAAAGAAAAGCAAATAACATGAAAAGGAAACTCACAAATTAAAATGGTTAATAAACATATGTAACAAAAAATCTCTGATAACTGAAAATAAAATTAATTCAAGAAAAATATACTTTTTTTTTTTTTTTTTTTTTTTTTTTTGAGATGGAGTCTCTGTCACCAGGCTGCAGTGCGGTGGCACAATCTGGGCTCACTGCAACCTTCACCTCCTGGGTTCAAGCGATTCTTCTGCCTCAGCCTCCTGGGTACCTGGGACTACAGGTGTGTGACACCACATCCAGCTAATTTTTCTATTTTTAATAAAGATAGGCTTTCACTATGTTGGCCAGGATGGCCTTGATCTCTTGACCTTGTGATCCGCCTGACTCAGCCTCCCAAAGTGCTGGGATTACAGGCATGAGTCACCATGCCCAGCCCAAGAAAAAGATACATTTTAAACCTCTTAAGAGAGCAAAGATTTAAAATGTTTGTTACATATGAGGTAAAGGTACCGTCAAAACTGGCTGATAGGCATATATATTGTTAGAATCTTGAGGATGGTGTGGCAAATTTTATTAAATTTCTTCCATTTCTTTTGTGTTTTTTTCTTCTACTTTTATGTTCCAGGGTACATGTGCAGGATGTGCAGCTTTGCTGTACAGATCAACCCATCACCTAGGTATTGAGCCCTGTATCCATTAGCTCTTCTTCCTGATGCTCTCCCTCCCTCCACACTCCCCACAACAGGCCCCAGTGTGTGTTGTTCCCCACCATGTGTCCATGTATTCTCATTGTTCATCTCCCACTTGTAAGTGAGAACATGTGGTGTTTGGTTTTCTGTTCTGTATTAGTTTGCTGAGGATAATGGCTTCCAGCTCCATTCATGTCTCTGCAAAAGACATGATCTCTTTCCATTTCATGGCTGCAGAGTATAGTGTATATGTGCTACATCTTCTTTATCCAGTCTATCATTGATAAAATCTGCCCCCTTTTCTAGTACCACTGTATTTCCTTTGTCAAAGGTCTTGAAAGCTAGGTGACATTTGTTACCTACTTCCTCCATCATTCATTCATTTCTTAATGCTCTTTAATCTGGAGTCTATTTCCACTACACTACTGAAACTGCCTTCACTGGAGGGGGTGATCCAAGATGGC